GAGAGAGAGAGGGGGGGCGGGCAAGGGGTCTTATATGTTCCTGAACATCAGTATATCCACTTACACAAAATCAAGACAAATGAAAGTTAGTGAAAATTATGCCTAACCAAACAGTTGACGCATATGCGTCAGTTTAACAAAATCCAAACCAACAAAGTCTTCCAAAATAGTGATATTAAGAAAGATTTCCAGCATTTTGGCCTGCAATTTAGATCTCTTAAAAGCTGTCACAGCCTGAGATTTCGTATGTGGATTGTTTACTTCTACAGAACCAGTTTTCGCTGTCAAAGATAAATATCTGTACTTTGAAGGAGAAGAATAGAAAAAATAATTAGAATCGTTAACAGGATGTCTCTACAATACTACTTTCTCAGATTTACTTTCGTCAAGAGATTTTTTAAAGGTATTTTGACATTCAAAATGACGCCCGAAGGCTCGAAAAACATTGCATGGAATTGATCGCGCGTACAATAAGAGAGAAGAACAGAAATAAACTAATTGTTATAAAGCAGCTTGCTCTTTCAATGGGATACCCTTCGGAGCGATGGATTTATTTACATTTCGGATTTGTATCAGAAAAAAACCATGTATGTTGTTGATAAGACTTCTTGCTGTACATTCTGAAGCGCTTTTCGGGCACACTAGCGACAAACTCATTTAGAACTTCATGTTTGACGCTATATCTATTTCCAGAACGATGGAATTGTTTAGGAGAGGGGTGTTAAAAGCACTATATGATAGCAAATTTCGAAACAAACCAAAACAAACACTATTTAATCTCATCTGTGATAGCGTCTCTCTCTCTCTCTCTCTCTCTCTCTCTCTCTCTCTCTCCCCTCTGTCTCTCTCTCTCTCCATCTCTCTTTCTCTCTGGCGCTTAAATGACCAAAATTGTGTCGATAGTGCCGTAAAACATCTACCCAATCTCTCTCTCTCTCTCTCTCTCTCTCTCTCTCTCTCTCTCTTTCTCTCTCTCTCTCTCATCTGTCTCTGAGTATGTGAGTATGTGCATGTTTGGCTAATGCGCATGTTTGTTGCGCATGTTTGTGTGCATATGTGTGTGTCTGTGTGCGCGTGCCCGCGCGCGTGTGTGTGTGTACGTGTGTGCGTGTGTGTGTGTGTGTGTGTGTGTGTGTGTGTGTGTGTGTGTGTGTGTGTGTGTGTATGCACTGGATACTTCCCCGATAACATGAAACTGTGGCAGTTTTCTTTCGATCTGAATCTCAAAAGACCACAACAATATTAACGCGCTTACATTAACATTTTCTTACTCAAATTTGTAATCCAAAGTGTCAAGTAAAATACTTAATTTAAGAAAATTATTCGATGTGACCTTTGAGCCTAACGGATGACTTGGTTAAAAATAACGATAGATTGAGGTGTGCGTGCACTATTGTAAATGTTGACAGGGATACATAAATCTTAGTGATGATTTCATATTCTAATGGCATCGCAAAGGGGCGTGTCACTCAGATATGCTTTGTCCTTTCTGTCCTGACTTCGTGATTTTAAAACAAAAGCTACATACACGACCCACCCACACACAACCAGTATAAGAAGTGTTCTAACGCTATTTCCTTCAAACTGATTGTCTATAACATAGATCGACAAACTTTCTTTCAATCGTTCAGAAATATTCACACGTAAGACATGCAAATAAATATTTTCCCCTACTAGTTCCTGTTCTTGCATACCCTGTAAACATACTTATGTCTAGACATGCTAATCCTCTGTTTGTTTAAAATCCTTTCTGACGGATTCACTGTCGTGTGCACAAAGGTTAAAGTTCCAGTTAGCAATTCATCCTTTCTAGATACAATTTTTACATCCTCCCCTGCTTGTTACCTGCAGCTTGACAGCCCCATCCAAAGAAAAAATCTCTGTCTTCTTCACAGAAAAAGTGTGTGCGCCCGCGCGTGCGCGTGTGTGTGTGAATGTGTGCGTGTGTGTCTGTGTATCTTAAACTATTAACAAGTAGACGTACTTGCAATTTACAAAAATGACGGAACTCATTATTTTTTAAAAGTAATATTTTTTAGCGTACTAAGCCCCATCCCAACCATCGATTTATTCAAAGACTTGCAGTGTTCTATAAAGAAAAAAAGTCCCCCCCCCTCCTAACTTCTATACACCTGTCCGCTCCACATATTTGTCAGGCCCCGACACATAAAAAAAATGCAATACGTAACTCGCCCAACGACTGCATTCCCAAAGAGCCAAATAGTTATTTGATCTCAGCACATCTATCACAATAACAACATGCGTCTGTTCGATTTTGTTTTCTTTGGTTAGCTCTTGAGGATGGAGTTCTCAAAGTTCATAAACAGCACTTTTTGTTTGAACGCTTGCGTTTTCTTTTAAGTACAAAGACACGAAGTCCTGAGGACTAATTGAAACAACAAAAAAAGGAATAACCTTCAGAAAGGACGGCCCAATTATCGTGTAGTATTGAGAACAGGCATTATACACGCTCGAGGAAAGGATCAGCAACATGCGGATGAGGATGAGTGCATTAAGGGAAATGGTAATAAGAGGAAGAAAGAAGACAGAAAGAACCAATACAGAAAGAAAGAAAGAAAGACAAAGGGA